GAAGAAGATACCTACAGTAAGGGAGCCATTTTAGGGTTGGCAAGAGACTTGGCTCTAGAGGGGATTCCAGGTGCCCATGGGATGTCCACAGCTAAGTCCTTGGACAGCAGATGAGAGGGTGCCTGAACTGTCCTTGCCCCACTATCACGCTGATGATTATCTCGAATATCACCATAGAATCTTCGTCGGGCGATAGATGGAGATAATGACAGAGATCCTCATCAGAGAAACGGACTGAGCTCCCAAGGTCCCATTGAAAGGCAGAGGAGGGAGAAGATGAGCAAGGAAGTCAGAACTGCGAGGGGTTGGTCCACCAACTGAGGCAGTGTGCCTGATCTAATGGGAGCTCACCAAATCCAGCTGGACCCAGTCTTAATGAACATGTGATCAAACCGGACTCTGATTGTGGCTGACAATGGGGTCTGACTGAGAAGCCATTGATAAAGGCACTGGGACTTGTTTTACAAACCTCCATCTGGCGACGTATGGAGATAGATACAGAGATCCTCATCAGAGCAACGGACTGAGCTCCCAAGGTCCAGTTGAAGTGCAGAAGGAGGGAGAAGATGAGCAAGGAAGTCAGGACCGTGAGGGGTTGGGCCACCCACTGAGACAGTGTGCCAGATCTAATAGGAGCTCATGCGACCAAACCATACTCTCTGAATGTGGGTGACAATGGGGGCTGACTGATAAGCCGTTGAGAAAGGCACTGGGACTTGTTTTTACTGTATGTACTGGCTTTTTGGTACCCTACTCTATTTGGATGCACACCTTCCTAGGCCTGAATGAAGGGGGGAGGGCCTAGGACTTCACACAGGGCAGGGTTCCCTGCTTTCTCTTAAGGAGGGAGAGGGAGGGAGGAAGGTGAGTGGGGAAGCGGGAGGGGAATGGGAGGAGGGTAGGAAGTGTAAATTTTTGAATGGAAAAATAAAAAATAACAAAAAATAACCGTAGGAAAGTTTAAAAAAGTAATAATAAAAAAAGAAAGAAAAAAGTAACATATATACAGAAGGACATCACACATCATTTCTCCTTTTCAGTCTAACTACAAAGGAAGATTTTTAACTTTAACATAGTAAAATTACATCTAACAAAACAAGAATTGCAATTATAATATTTAGTTCATTTGTATTAGGCAAAAACTAGAAAATGTTCTATCATTTATCTTATCTTTGGGTGTGTAAAGTTTTGTATCTAATATACCTTTTATTATAACTAAGGAAAACTATAACTATAACTATCTGTCTTCAACTCCATCAAAGGCCTCAGAAGAATATAAAGTTACCTAGGTAAACAGGAAGTGCATTATTATCCACTTCCAAAATTTTAGAATAGATAGAGATATCTATTCTGTAACATTGAGGCACCCATATTCAATCTACAGACCTATAGTATCTGACAGACTTTTTCATGAAGCAGGAAATTCAAGTTCTGATTGGTAGATGAAGCCATTTACTGAGATGGAAGCAGTTGAAGAATCAAAAGGCCAGCTTTATGCAAGTCTGAGGTCCTATAGGACATTTAAGTGGAGACACCAAGGAGTCAATGAGATGAGAGAGGCTACCTTGCAGGTAAATATTTGGACTCTCTCAATATCTAGAAGTTTTGTTCAACCATTGTCCCAAGTAAGCATCTCATTAAAAAATATACTTTGCAATTTTTATTTTATAACTCATTTTTTTAAAAAATTAGAGTTTCTGTTATTTTATATCAGAGTCCACTGAGGAAGGAAACTTAAATTAATTTCTAATTGCTGATACAAAAGTATATGTAATTCAGTAGAACTATAGCTTTCTGTTTGCATGTAATTAGCATTTTCATGTAATCTTCTTTCCAATAATCTGATTTTCATCATTTCCAGAAATGATTTTTCCTATAGCCACCATTTCTAAAATTTTTGTGTGACATCTGTTGAACAATTTCTCCTTCACATATGATGTTATCTAATTTGTGTAAAAATCCCAAATTCAATTTGCCCTTTACCTTATTTCTTTGTACAGGATCTCTGGCCTGCGAGAAAAAGCGATTGCTTTCTTCTCTCCTCGGAGACACTTGGCAAAGCTGCATGAAGAATAAAGGAAGAAAATCTGTTTGATCTCAGAGACGTGCTGTTTTGTAGATAATGAAAACAAATGAAGCATGACTGTTCATCGAGTTTTTTCTATCACAGATGGGGACTTTTGTTAAAGAATTCTCTCAATCAAATAAATTCTTTTATTTGACATTGAAGACCCAGAGAATTATGCAGGCAATGTTGTTGCCCTCTCTGTTTTTACTTAAAGTTAGATAAGCAAGGACACATCATAGTTGCTGCCCACTTTCCATCATTTTCTGAGCTCTGGACATTTTAAATTTCAAGACCTCTGATCAGCATTGCCTATTTTTAAACAACAAAAAGCTGGAACATTATTTTTTTATTCTCTAAGATAGATATGAGCACTGGACACAAAAATACTAGAGACCTTCATGTCTTAAATGTTTTTTCTCTCCCAAGTTTCAAGGTCACTTGTTCATTGTTTTTTAAAGCCTGTTATAAAAAAGAAATAAATTACAGCAAAAAGAAACACCAAGCACATAGAACAGAAGGGAAGCCTATAGTAGTGGGAAACATCTGCAATGAAAGGTGAGATATCCAGCAGTTGGTGGGTTCTGAAGTGAGAATTTAGCCACAGTTTTCTAGAAAGCATTATTAACGCATTTTGGAAAATGTTTGAAACAATGGACTGGTGTATATTGTTGAGAAACAGAGTATTTTCACATGGTGATTTTCTGTCATATTTTGAATATTTTTCCTATGAATCTGTGACTGTTGTGCAGAGATGAGAGAATATGAGACTCAGAGAGGACATACAACTTGCTGATACTAAACACAATTCATACTAAATCCTTGCCTTTGTAACAGACTCATTGATGACCAGTAAGCTATCTGAATTCTTAGTAGAAATTTTTCTCAGGGACACATTGGCAATAATTCACAGATGATTATTCAAAGCTATTCTATTTATGTAAATCAGATTATATGCAGCACATAATATTCATCACTTATTTAATTTTACAATATAACATGCTTGTCTTCGCAAGTCAATATGTGTGGCTCTGATACATTCTTATTAAAATCTGTATCATAGTCCCTTAACTCAGAGATTCACAGCTAAGGATGGAAGGAAAACTTTTGTCTATTTGCCAGAGGACAGCAATGTTTGGAGACTTTTTTTGACCTCACACTTGAGAAGAAGATGCTACTACTGGGTGGTTGCTAAGGATCCTACAATGTGCTGGACCACACTAACAACCAAGAATGACTGATGTGGTATAGGAGGTTCTTCTTTCTATGTGTTGCTTTCATTGGACAAATAAAGAAATTGCCTTGTTTTTTTTGATAGGGCAGAAACTTACGTAGGCTGGGAAAAGAGAACTGAATTCTGGAAGGAAGAAAGCAGGGTCAAAGATTGCCGCCATGGAGTCACCCGCCAGGTCAGACATGCTGAGTCTTTCCCGGTAAGTCACGACCTCATGGTGGCATACAGATTATTAGAAATGGGTTAATCAAGATGTGAGAGTTGGCCAATAAGAGGCTAAAACTAATGACCAGGCAGTGATTTAATTAATACTTTCCGTGTGGTTATTTTGGGGATTAAGCTAGCTGGGCGGCGGAACGCGGCCCGCTCCTCATTACTACACTGATGCCCCAAATGTTTGGGGTACCAGTGCTGAGAAACTCTAAAAATAAACATATGGTAACACAAGTTGCTCCCTGGATTCCTCATAGGTATACGTTTGGGGATAGATTGAGTTAGTGGTTTGGAACTCCCCATCTCAAGGGGGTGTGTGGGAAAGGGGACATGGATGCACGTGGGCTAGTATACATTTGGAATACACTAAATTTGAACATTAGTGGTGGCTGCACAAGCAGCTACATGCCTCTGTATTATTCCAAATATGACTTCAGATAACATATATACTATCAATGTGATCTATAAAAAGTTAAATGACTTCATGTTCTTCCCAAGAGTATGTGAAGACGCATGGTTCCCAAGCATGCTATAACTTCCATTCAGAAAGTTTTCAGATTTGAATTTTGTCTTCTTTATTGTTGTCTAAAATTTATTAATTTTGGTGAGTTTAATTATATGTTCAAACCTTGGCCATTAGGTCTTTTATTTCTTGTAAACTGTTTACACACTGCTTTTCTATTGAGATGTTCAGTCTCTTTTAAAAAGATGTATTTATTTTATTAACCATTTGTGTTTTAATGTTTGTCACTTTCGATCATGTGAAAACATTTCAACTTTACAGAAGAAAATTCACCTTTAATCAGATACGTCCTCTTGGAGATTTTTATCATGGTTTGAAGCCCTTCCCTTATCAAGGGCTTATCAAACGACACTCTAGTGGGTTTTTTTTTTAGTAGTTTTCCAGTTCCATTTTAGTCTATTTGCCAGTTCATTTTACATCTAATCCTTTACCTCTAGCTCAATTTACTTCACTATAAATAACATTAACCCATTGACTTCTCCTAATATAGTAATCATGGTTTCACAGGAAGTGTTGACTTTCCTTGCTAAAAATAACCTGCTAACCTCACCATCTGCAATCCACTCTGGATCACTAGCCAGGGTTCACCAAAGGATTTCATGGACAGGAATGTTGTCGAGGGTAAAACTTGTGAAGCTTCAACATTTCCAAGATTTTACCCTATGTGTGCATTTCATTTTCTTTATTTATGTTATCTTATTTAGACAGATCCTTTATTGTCTTTTTTTATCTCCATGACACAATTGAAAACTCTTTGAATTTGTCTTACTTTAAAATGGGGCCACAAGCTTGGCTCTTCTAAAAATCATTTTAATATGCAAGCAATGTATCTTGATAATATATACCCCAACTCCCTCCTTTCAATGCCTTCTCACACCCACAACACATTTCCCTTCCAGCTTCACATCCTCTTTCGTTTTAGAAATAACCCACCAAGTTCCATTTATGCTGATCATTCACACATCGGTACAGAGACATCTACTAAGTCATGGGAAACCGACCAGGAATCGTGACTCATCTCCCAGAAGCTACAAAGGCTCAAGCACCTCTCTCTGCACGCTGGAATTCAGAACTGTGTTGATTTTGTGCAGGTCTTATTCAGGTACCGCAGCTGCCAAAAGTTTGTGTGTGCAGCTACTGTGCCATCTATGTCCAATCCCTCTTCTGAGGTGTTCTCTGAACTTTCCCTTTTGTGTGTGAGTGTGTGTGCACGCATGTGTGAGTGTGTGTGTGTATGTGTGTGCCCTCGTTTTTTGAGAATAACCTCTGTATTTGGTTACATTTCTCATTGCTGTGACAAAATGCTATATGGAAACAAGCTAAAGGAGAGATTCTTTATTTGGCTCATGATTCCAGAGATGTAAGTCCATTTTAATGTGGAGGTTGCAGGAGAATATAGCCTTCCTTTTTTGTGGGACAGGAAGTAGAGAAGAAAGGAATACAGGCAAGAACAAGGAAAAGATAATTTTCCTCGAGGACATTTCCTCCAACTAGGTCCTACCTTACAATATTTCCAGGGTTTCTCAGAACATATAAAATAATCAACTTAAAAAGTTTGATTTGGTGCCGCAGTTTCAGAGGCTTCAGTCAATGGCTGCTTGACTCCATTATTGTATGATTATGAGTGTGATGTAGAACATTATGGCAGCACATCATGGAAAAGGAAAGAAACTTCACAGTGAGAAAGGAGGGCAGAGAGGTTGGAGAGAAGGATGGAGGGAAGTAGGAAGGTAAAAGAGACAAAGGAAGGAAGGAAGAAGAGAATTGGAGGGGAAGGATGGAGTGGGCCATGGCCAGAAAATACTTTTCCCACACATGTTTTTAGTGGCCTACGTCTTTCAACTATACCCTACCTCCTGCTTTTCCTCACCTCCTGATAATGCCACCATGTTATGAATCCATCAGAGGATTAATCTATTGATGAGATCAAAGCCTTAGGATTTATTATTTTTGGAAATGCTCTTGTTGTACTCCCAGAGGAGTGTTTTATTAATGTCCTAAGTGTTCCTTGAGTCAATATATTTGACAATGTAGACTAACCATCTAAACCTATAACTTTCCCTCTTTCTGATATAGGACACATATGGTTTATTGAATGAATGTTCAGTTGACTTAAGCTTGCACTTTACTATGTGAACAATCTCTACTTTATTCCACATAGTATAGCTACAGTTATCACCCTAAAGAGAAAATACAGAATACTGGATAATTTTATTCTTTTCAATTTGATTTTTGTACTGTCCTTTTTATATTTTTCTGTATGCAATATAGATAACTTGTTGATAAACAATCTGAAATCAAATTCAACAAAGGATGGGAGTATTTAAGGGTCAGTAAGTTATCATTTTGAAATGTTAGCATCCATCAACACTCATATCAAAATTATCATTCCAACTCTACACATGATATCTTGGTTAGAGAGGAAAGAACTCAAATTTTTTGCTGAAAGGTTGCATACTTACATTTTATGTGAAAACACTTCTACTGATCTTCAAGAATGATAGGATATTATATTCCCTTGTAAATAACTTGTAAATGTCTTCTGACAAAAAAAATTAAATCTTACTGCTGGGATGACTCAGTGCTCTTGCAGAGGACCCTATTTTGATTTCCAGACTCATATTAAGCAGCTGATAACAGTCTGTAACTCCAGTTACATGGGAGATTCAATACCTCTGGCATCTACAGGCACCCCCACATTAACATATCTGCCTGGCATATACAAATAATTAAAAAGTATTCAAAAAGCAAAAATAAAAGGATCAACTCTTTATTGTTCTATTCCCAGTTGATAATCCAACCACCAAACACCTAGGGCATGTGAAGGGAAGTTTCTAGCTGATTGAAAAATGCTTATAACTGAACTACTCTGTAAGACTCCAAGTCTCTACATGTGAACATAGAAACAGACAGTGGTGAGAGTGTTCTTAAAAATAATTCTGTCCATTGGGCCCAGATTATCGTGTAGTGAATCAACAAGTATCATTGCACAAGTGGTCATTGCAGAAGAGAGCCTCAGATGCTTGTTGCTTTGACTTGATGTTAAATGGTGTGTAAGTCAGTTTTCAGCTACTGTGACAAAATACTTGAGATAATCAACTTATGGGAGACGTGGTGGCTTGAATGAAAATTGCCCTTGGCCCCTGTTAGTGGGATTTTTGGGTAAGGATTAGGAGGCGTGGCCTTGTTAGAGCACATGTGACCTTGTTGGAGGAGGTGTGCCACTGAGGATGGGCTTTGAGGTTTCCAAAGCCCATGCCAGGTTCCCTGTCTTTTTCTGTCTGTCTGTCTGTCTATCTATCTGTCTGTCTGTCTCTGTCTCTCTGTCTTTCTCTGCATGTAGATCAGGATGTAAATCTCTCAGCTACTGCTTTAAGGCCATGCCATCTGTTCCTACCATGATGACCAAGGACTAACCCTCTAGAATTGGAAGCAAGCCCCCAGATAAATGATTTCTTTTGTAAGAGTTGCCTTTGTCATCGTGTCTTTTCACAGCAATACAACGGTTACTAAGACAGGAGGATAGATTTATTCTGGCTCATGTGTTCTGGTGTTTTAGCCTATGGTCAGCTGGCTTCCCTGTGCTATATCTGTGGTGGGCAGAAGATCACAGAAGAATTGTGACAGAAAAGGCTGTTAACTTCACAGCACCTGGAAGTGAAGATAGAAAAGAAAGACCAGAGATAATATGTCCCTCTTCAAAGGCATGCTCCCAGTGACTTCCACCCTACAACTAGGCCCACCTGCTGAAGTTTCCACACTCCCAGGCGTGCTACCAGCTGTGGATAAAGCCTTCTGCACATGAGAAATGAGAGAACATCTGCATTCAGACTATAATAAATGACTATGGCAAGTAGTTTGTGTTGGTCAGTGTACTATTGCTAGTGTTTTATTTTAGAAAACTGTTTTATAAGAAAATGCCAGAAACACCTCCAAGCTGAAGTCTTTTTAGTATTCATGGATAGTTGCATCCATAACTATCAGACATGAGATAAAAATTGATAAAAGTACAGCCTTGGGGATATAATTTTATCCCCGAGGTCTCCACAGAGCCCCAGCTTTATATAAATTTTCCATCACACAGCCAGCTGTTCAAAGTATAAGAATCTATTTCCCCGATGGGTAAGGAATCTCAGGGTAGAAAACAGATTCAGAAGACAATTACTGAACTGCATTTCTTTCTCAGAAAATTCATTTCTTTTCATGCTTTTCCAGAGCATCTACAGCTGAGTCTAAATAAGTTTGTCATCAGATGTCCTTAAGGAAATGAGGCCTTTGGGGCTGCACTCAGACACATTACAAAGGAAGTGTTTGAGACTGGCTTATGGGTGTACCTTGTCTCCGCTGGTAGTGGTAGTTTTTTTTTTTCTTGATGAGCTAACCTTGAGTCCTTCAATTATATCATTTTGCTGCTACCAGGTGGTCCTTCCCAGGTCCTAATGTTGGTACCATTTAGGGATTTACCTCTTCCCCTGCATCTCAGTATTGGGGGAGTTGTGGTTAACAGAAGGCAAAAAGAGTGGATGGAGGTGACTGGAAAGTAGAAAGCCTTCAACTAGAATGTGTTTGAAGAGCTTACATATTCCCACAAATTAAAGCACCTGTCCAAATCAGCAATAAAAACAGACTTGCTGATACTAAAACTTCAAGTTAGTAACCACAGATTTCGAAACAATCGCACATGTATTGTTCCCTTGATCCTCAGCTAATCCCTTTGGTAAAACTGGTTGTCCCAATAGTGCCACTGAAACATTGCAATACTGGAAGTAAGTAGCCACAGGTATTGAGGCCACTGGGTGTTGAGGTCACACTCTGACTGAGGCTTGCATTTCATATCCTAAGATGCCTGACCTCTCCTGGGGTGCATTAAGGGAGGATGTGAAATATGAATGAGAACAAGCAGAAGAAACAATCAGGGGAGACACTGGGGAGAAAATGCTGGTGCATCTCACAAAAGGACAAGGTTTATGGATGTGGATAAAAAAACGATAAATTGCTGAGTGCTTTGGAAGAGAGTGGAAACAGGCTTAACGGAGAGGAATGGGCAATGGGACCAGGAGTGAGGATGGAGCAGGGCAGATACTACCAAAATACAGTTCCCCCTCTTCATAGTCTCATTCTTCAATATTTAAGACTTTGACTATGCAAATGTGCTCTCAATATTATAGGCTCATTTCTTGATGTTCTGACATGGGAACTGATGTCTATAGATCTCAGCATTGTATTGGCAAAGACAAGTGTCCAGGATCACACAAACTATTTGCAGACATTTAAACCCAAGAGATCTAGCCATACCTGTCATCCCAGGGATGCGTTCCCTCTGAAGCAAAGAACCTAACTGAGAAAGCAGAAAGGGGCTACCCTCCATAATCAATAGGGCCAAATGAATTTGATACTTCTCATCTTCCCTGGTGCTACCTTCACCTCTAAAAATACTCATATCTTGATTCTAAGACGACAACAGAATCCAGCAGAAATCCTATTCTCTATGAATTTTAGTCAGCTCTGCTTCTCCTTTTCTATCTATGGCAAGGCATGTGGTCAGCTGCTGTATTAAAGAACAATGCATCACCCTGAAGTTCTCACTAGGAGTCCTAAAGGGATCTTGGAAGAAGGAAGAGGGAAAGAAGTGACAAGGGGGTTAGTAATCCACCCACAGGAAACAGCTTGTCTCCAAGTGAATGGCATCGCATAACGTTAAATAAATCCCTTTCCAAAAGGATTTCCATTTCCCCAATTGTTCTATGTCTCCCTTCAAACCTGAACTAGGGAGTTTTGCAACGTAGGGAGAACCATGTCATGACTTTTGGAGGATGATTCATTTAGTAAACATTCAGATCTTAGTATATTGTTTAGAAGACACAGAGGAGGACAGAAAAATCACAACCAGAGAAGTCTCAGGACTCATTCCACTGAGTTTTTTCCTCTTTGGTTTTTCAAGACAGGGTTTCTCTGTTATTTTAGAGCCTGTCCTGGAACTAGGTCATGTAGACCAGGCTGGCCTCGAACTTACAGAGATCTGACTGCCTTTGCCTCCCTAGTGCTAGAATCAAAGGCATGCGCCAGCACCACCTGGCTTCACTGAGCTTTTTCAACATTCTCTTTTGACCTCTTGCTTAGTTCTTCATGGCTTCCAGGGAGCAGGTAGAGATACAGCACGCATAACAAAAGCTAGTAAAAGCTGAACGTCCCTAATCTGAAAACCTGAAATGCAAAGTTTCCCAGAACTTTAAGATATTTTTGTGTCACTATTAGAATACAAGATGACCTGGCTGTTGGAAGACTTCCTCACTTGGTTCTCAGTTTAATTAAACAAGGGAGGGTACTGCATTGGGATTTTTTTAAAAGATATTTTTATTCCATTTTTTTGCCTCCTTTTTGTTTCTTTGCTGCCTCCTCGAATCTGAGCATTGCACATTAGCTTTAGCCTCTGTTGGGGTCTCTGTTCTCAGCTTTTATAAAAGTTTATCTTGAGTTAGTTGTTTCCACAATTACACTTGGTAAAAACTACCCGACCTCCAGGGCTTTAAGCAGTGACTATGTATTCTAGCATGTAAAGATCGGTAGTTGGTTATGTTATGGTTTGAATGGGAAATAATTTTCACAGTGTCACGTGTTTAAGACTTGGTCTCTAGCAGTTGGTGCTGTTCAGGAGGTAGTGGGAGCTTTTAGATGTAGAACCCAGTGGAGGAAGCAAATTGTTGGAGGTATAACTGTTAAGGGTATACTTGATACCTGTCTGTTTCCTGCTGTACTGAGTGCACCCTGCTATGTTGTTTATTTAACCTTTCCTGAAGACCCACAACAATGGAACCCAATACCAATAGAAACCCCTGAGGCTTCTGAGCCCAAAAAGTGGTGTCCTGCTCTAAACTGTTTCTCTCAGGTATTTGTCAAAGCAATAATAAGTTAGTCACACACTAGCACAATATGTCATGAGATTGGGCTAGACTGCTATCTATGTTCTGGGTTCTAGGCTTTAGGTTTTGACTCCTGGTATTCAGGCTTCTAGTTGAATCTGGTTTTCTGTAACTGTCATCTAATCTTCCAGGGCACATGGTGGAGTTTAGATGTCTCAGTCAAGGACCTAGGTGCACAAGGAAGGAGGGAAGAAGAGACAAAAGGCAGGCTTTTTTTTCTTGGAGGCTACTGTAGCTTTCTCTTTTCCTAAATTATTCACCTTATTATCTTTCCTTTTATCATTATTCAATTATAATTTTGATAATATCTTATTTGTTCCTTGACAACATCATACATGCATACTTTATCCTTGATTAGTATGACATTGCAACAGATTTTCAAAGATCAAGTTCTATAGAGCAAACAGCTCTCACATTCCGAATCATATCACATCCACTAGATTCTATTATCTGAAGCCAGCCACATAGCCTAACTCAAAGTCAATGAATCAGGAATGTAACCTAGCCTTTCAGGTGGATTTGGTTAGGGTAGGAGCAATATATAATGTGGCTTCAGTTGGTTGAAGCACTGGGGACAAAGAATTCCATTTTACTCAGATAGAGGAGATAGCAGTGTACAGAAACTGGTTTCCTGGATCTGCTCAAACTGGTCAGATCAGCTTGAGGCTGGATCCCAATTTTTGCGCACCCCTGAATGTTCACACTCAGCCCGAGAACTATCTTGACAGGAGGCACTGGTGAAGTTATTCTAGAAATAAATCACCACATAAATTATTGTGGCAAAATATTTCACTAAGGATTTATCTAGAGGAGGTGGCTAAGGGGAGGAGAAGGCAGAAAGGGGAAGTGGGAAGACAGGAGAGGAGGAAGGAGGGTGAGGATGCAAAACAAAAGAGGAAGGGGCAGCCCCATTCTTTTTCTTGGTTATTGTTGCAATCCCCATCCCCACCCCTGATTTATTTCATCCATATTCTGTTCGGCAAGTGTTAAAAGTTTGCAGCTTTGGATGCTGCCAATTCATCTCACAGAAGTGCATCACAGCAGACAAAATCTTTATCTGGCCTTTCATCTCTCTGTGGTTCCCAGCACCTGTGTGGATGCTCGCTGCCTTTATTTTCATAAGCATAACAGTAATGTATTCCCAGAACAATGCATTTTATGCTTTTGATGAAACCTCTTGAAATTTGATAGGCCCATAAAATAAGATGTGATTGTCTTGAGGCTTTTTGTTTCTCCTATGAAGCCGACAAGAAATTGAAATTCTAGCATTCTGTCTTCCTCTGTGATTCTGGGCCTCCAAACCTGTTAAAGCTAATGCTAAAATAACAACTGAATATCTTGCTTTTGAAACATTACAGGAGACCTGGAGGATGTCAATTTGATTGGCTGAATAAAAGTAACAGTTATTTATGCAGCCCTTGCTTTTTCCATTCCGTAAAGTATTTAGACTGATTGCCTACATTTAGCCTGAAATTGTTTATTGTTGGAAGGAAACACTATTGGTATCCAAAATGCTTCTTGTGAGATTCTTGTGTCCCCTGTGACAGGTACAGAAAAATTGTCCTGCAAAGAGTCTGATGCTCTCAGCCTGGCATGGTAGCACACACCTATTGCTCCAACACTCAGGAAATTGAAGTACAATGCTCATTTGTACTTGAGTACAGTAATTCCAGATTGGCCTGGGTTACAGAGTGAGACACCCCCTCCTATTTCAAAACCACTGTTCAAATCCTAATCCCTGGAATGTGCAACTATTCCCCTTTCCATATGCAAAGATGATTTGAAGACAGAAATAAGTTAGTAATTTTTGAGATGAAGAGATTGTTCTGGACAATCTCAGTGGCAGCATGTCATCACAAGGGTCCTTAGCAGAGAAAGACAGTGGATTTAGAATCCAAGAGCTATGGTGACCGAGGCAAAGGTTTGAGCCCTTGTG